GGGCTGAGCAAGAGGACAGGGGCTGAGCAAGGGGGTCAGGAGCTAAGGAAGGGGATAAATAAATAAATAAATAAAGTGTATCCCCCCTCCCTGAGTCTTACTTTACCTGACAGGAGCCAGGAGCAGGATCCAGGAGCAGCAGTCAGCATACAGCAGTCAGTGAAGTCGGCCTCTCCTGATGATGTCAGGAGGAGGCGGCGTGACTTTCTCTGCTCTTCTCCCAGACTCCCCAGCGATCCTGGAAAAAGAGCAGTGAAAGTCACGCCGCCTCCTCCTGACATCATCAGGAAGAGGCCGGCTGACTCCACTGGCTGCAGGCTGCAGGGAGAGAGGTAAGTTGAAAAATCCGAGTCAATTCAGATTTTTCCTTTGTTTGCTGGATGCGGGCGGCCTAAGGGGGCAATTGCTTCCCTGCCCTCTGTCCCAGCCCGCCCCTGGTAAGACCACACATTAAATATGCTGTGCTTTTTTAGGCACCTGTTCTAAAGAAGGATATGATGGCACTAGAAAAATTGCAGAGGTGGGCTACAAAATTAATAAAAAAAGGAATGGGGCATTTGTCTGGAAATCTGTTCTTAAACAGGACTATACATAGGACACAAGGTCATGTATTTATACTGGAATAAAATAAATTTAGTGTAAGGCAAGGGAAAGGTTTTTTTATAGTAAGAACAATAAGGATGTGGAATTCTCTGCCTGAAGAGGTGGTTTTATCAGAGTTTGCACAGATGTTTAAACAGTAATTAGATAAATGCGTGCAAAAACATAACATTCAGGGATATAATTTTTAATATGTGGGGCATTAGCTGTTTGATCCAAGGAGATATCTGACTGCCATTCTTGGGTCAAGAAGGATTTTTTTATTAGTTTGTTGCAAACTGGAAAGTGATCCATACTGGGGTTTTTTGCCTTCTTTTGGATCAACAGCAAAAACAGATGTGAGGAAAGCTGAACTTGATGGACGCAGATATTCTCCGACGCCCCAGGTCTCCATCTTTCATAGTGATTTAATTGTGATGTCAGCTCATCGGTCTGTGTGGGGCCACTAATTTTTTTCCCAAGTTGACACAGGAAAGTCTCAGGCATCAAGTTATACCTGGGATTCTCCAGTAACCAGCAGGGAAATGTTCCCTCCTGGTAAAATGCTGCATTATTCTGTTGTGGGTCCTTAAGTGAAGGACAATCATAATGAAATATTTCCAACATGCGTTATTGAGGGGTTAATGAATTATATAGAAAATGCATTAAACAGGCAATAAATACATTACTAAATACAATACAATCCTTAAAACCTCTGGCAGCTGTTGCAAATACACAGACAAGCAGTAGATGCCCGAGCTTCGCATTCTCTAAACAGAGGTCTTCAATTATGGTCTGTGGAGTCAGACCATAGAGTATATTCACTTTTTTTTTTCTGTCTCCTTTGCATTTTTCCATGCAAATATTGTTACCAAAAAAATATTATTAAATATAATAAATCAATAACATTTGATGTTTTTTCTTAATAGATACATCTCTATAAATGTGGTGAAATGCTGGTGTCGCCTGGTAAATTGGCTTATTGTGAAGACAAAAGAATAAAAAATACCCCTTTATTTTTACAAAATTTGCTGATATTAGCAGTCAGTGGAACATCGTGATAAAATACTATACTTTTTACCCTTTGCAGTAGTAAATGCCTTATCTAGTAAATATATTTGACAAAAAAGTAAAATGACTGGAAAGAGATCATTTTACACAAAAAAATTCATACACAATTTCATTTATTTTCATTTTTTTTTTTAGCAAAAAGCTTAGAGTCAAATCGAAGTGGAATTATAGTGGGATATGGCAAAATTACTTATAAATGTATCTATTTCTCATTTGAAACCACAGAAATAGTAACGTATTTCCTATCATTTTTGCATTTGTTTATTTTGACATGGGCTTTGTCTATGCTTTGAAAATAGACAACTGAGATTTAAACCTGCAATAAAATATATTTAAGACAGCAAAGATAGTCGGTTAATTGACCTTTATAGCACCGTCTGGTTCATTTATGGAGATAAATTAAATTAACATGATAATTCAGCCCTACTGTGTTAAGGAAGCTATAGGATCATTAAACTTTATAGTAATTGATTTTGCAGGGTTTTTTTTCTATTAACAGTGATACATTTTCAATACTGTAATGCACATTTTACAGAATCATTTATTTCAGGTGCTATCCACCTGATATGTTTTAGATTTCTGACAGTGGGTGAATTAACCCAGTAGTGAGCAGCATTACTCATAATTTGAGGAGGAAGGGGTAGAGGAAATTTCCCAAGGTCCTACCTTTATGAATATATTGCCATGCTCCCTATCACAAATGGGATGGAGCAAGGTTTAGGCATTAATTGGTGGGCCTCTTTCTAGTTAATGTTCCCCTTCATTTACAGTACACAAAGATTGCTGAATACACACATACAAACAGACTGCTGAATACACACAGACAGACTGCTGAATACACATATACTGTTGAA